AAATCTCACTTTTTGACAATGTGCAGTTAAATGCGTCTTCCCAGAACTCAGAAAGGAGAGAAGAGGCAGCTACTTCACTGGGCGAGAGAGTCAGTAGGAAGTTTCTTAAACCTGGTATGACAGATTGCTGAATGCCGACTCCAGTGGCCCCTGCACAGAAACTGAAGCTCAAATAGTTTGGGTCAGTTATCCAGCCTTCACTTCCTATCCACTGCCGAGGTGGTGGAAGCTCCCGAGCAAACTCTTCTAACAGGACCCTCATATCTGCAGAAGCTACAAAAGCCACAATAACCAGTGCTGTTGACCTGGAGAAGCACGGGAAAATTATTGTTTTACAGTATATTTAAATCCTAGATTTGACAGAGCTATGTTGTATGGTTTAATTTATACTTTTTTCTTTTTGGGGGGTGGGGTGGTGGTGGGGGGGCCTTAACTGTAGGCCAAAACATTATTTTTCATTCAGTGTTTCTATATTAATGCAAACAAGGAAGTTAAATCAGGAACGTAGAAACCTGCGAATAACATCAGCAACTCTTCGGATCTTGCTCTGTGGGTCGGCCCAAGAAAATGCTTCAGAGTACTCCACGCAGATCCCCTCTTTCTCTGCTGCATCAAGAAAAGACGCCATGCCATGATTCCCATAATCTGAGTCAGAGCGAACAGCACCTATCCAAGTCCAGCCAAAATGTTTCACTAACTTGGCCAAAGCATCAGCTTGAAACTGATCACTGGGAATTGTTCTGAAAAAACTTGGGTACTGCTGCTTATTTGACAGGCAGGCACAGGTTGAAAAATAGCTGACCTGTTTTAGAAAATAATTGTAAAAAACAACAACAACAACAAAATTAAAACCAAACACCCTGATCTTCAATCACTCAATTATTGGGAGCACTTTAGATTTTTCATTTTCAAAATATGCAGAAATTTTACCAGAGGGATGCTGAAAGGCCCAAAGATGCGGGATATACTGATTGATGGTGTGGATGCAGAGTCTCCAACAGCAGCCATCACCACACCAGACTGGCTACAATTACTACCTTTGTTAAACACAGGGTCCTGACCATTTGACAGTTGAAATGCCACATCCACCGCCATGGGCACTGAAGCACACGAGTCATAGATTTTATATCCAAGTTTGATGCCTGGAAGCAGCTCTGTGCTGTTGTTTATCTCTTCAATGGCAAAGATCATTGAGCGAGAAAAACGTAGTTCTCGTGCTATAAGGCTGCACAAATCATAAAGGTTAATGCTGACATTTTTATATAAAACATAAAAAAATAGAGAAATTTGACCAAGTAAACAAAACAAAATAAGATACATTTTATAGTTTAGATAACAAATTAATAATAAAAAAAAAATGGTCACAACTAAAATTAATGTAAAAATATTAGTCCATGTTTAGTACTTTGCATACAAATAGTTTATTTATGAAATCTGCATATCTAAATCTAAATTATTACTGTTCAGAACTCTTCAGTTAACTTCATGTTTATTTTAGAAGACAAACCAAACATAATTGTATTTCAATGCATTTTTCGATTAAAAAAAAAAAAAAA